ATGTGGATCTGTGATCTCATGGGATTTAGGGACAGTTTCCCGCAGGGACCAGCCCAGCATCTTCAGGGCCGTGGGGCTGTGATCCCATGCGATGTGGGGACGCGCTCCCACCCCCCCCCCCCCCCCCCCAGGATCCCGTGCACCCCTACCCGCGCCCCTCGATCTTGCAGACGTGCTGGATGAAGGGGCTCCAGTCGAAGGTGCCGGGGTCCCCCCGCACCCAGCGCCGCAGCTCCTCCCGGTTCACGGCCAGGTAATCGGTGGCCACGATCTCCTCGAAGTGGTCGCAGGCGCTGAGCAGCTGGTAAATGGTGGGGCCTGAGCCCACGTCGATCAGCGTCCGCCCATGGATCTCACCTGGGGAAGGAGATGGACACAGTGGGATCCCACCCTGACATCCCAGCATCCCAACATCCCAACATCCCATCCCAACATCCCAACATCCCATCCCAACATCCCAACATCCCATCCCATCCCAACATCCCACCCCAACATCCCAATATCCCAACATCCCAACATCCCATCCCATCCCAACATCCCACCCCAACATCCCAACATCCCAACATCCCAACATCCCATCCCAGCATCTCAGCATCCCAACATCCCATCCTACCCCAACATCCCATCCCAACATCCAACCCCAACATCCCATCCCAACATCCAACCCCAACATCCCATCCCAACATCCCAACATCCCATCCCAACATCCCAACATCCCATCCCAGCATCCCAGCATCCCAACATCCCATCCCACCCTAACATCCCATCACAACATCCAACCCCAACATCCCATCCCAACATCCCATCCCAGCATCTCAGCATCCCAATATCCCATCCTACCCCAACATCCGACCCCAACATCCCATCCCATCCCAACATCCCATCCCAGCATCCCAGCATCCCAACATCCCATCCTACCCCAACATCCCATCCCAACATCCCATCCCACCCTAACATCCCATCCCAACATCCAACCCCAACATCCCAACATCCCATCCCAACATCCCATCCCAACATCCCATCCCATCCCAACATCCCATCCCAGCATCCCATCCCAACATCCCATCCCATCCCAACATCCCATCCCACCCCAAAATCCCACCCCAACATCCCAACATCCCATCCCAACATCCCATCCCACCCCAACATCCCATCCCAACATCCCAACATCCCATCCCACTCAACATCCCACCCCAACATCCCATCCCAAAATCCCATCCCAACATCCCATCCCAACATCACATCCCACCCCAGCATCCCATCCCAGCATCCCATCCCATCCCACCCCAGCATCCCATCCCAACATCCCATCCCATCCCAACATCACATCCCATCCCAACATCCCATCCTACCCCAACATCCCATCCCATCCCAACATCCCATCCCAACATCCCATCCCAACATCCCATCCCAACATCCCATCCCAACATCCCATCCCATCCCAACATCCCAACATCCCATCCCAACATCCCAACATCCCATCCCACTCAACATCCCACCCCAACATCCCATCCCCAAATCCCATCCAATCCCACCCCAACATCCCATCCCAACATCCCATCCCATCCCAGCATCCCATCCCATCCCAACATCCCATCCCAACATCCCACCCCACCCCACCCCACCCCACCCCATCGAGTTCCAGCCTCCCCAAGGCGCAGGGAAGTCGCTGCGGGGCACGGTGCCTGCTCCCTCCCTCCCTGCCCCATTCCCGCCCCACACCGGGCTCCCCACGGCCCTCACCGGTCCCGAAGGTGTCTGCGAGGCACCGCAGCTTCCAGGGCACCACGAACTCCTCGGAGGAGAAGTCCGCGCGGGGGGGGCCGTAGTTGTTGTCCAGGTACGCGCGGGGGTCGAAGCGCTCGTAGCGCTCCCGCAGCGCCGAGAGCCCGCTCATGGCCGCGGCTCCGCCGCTCCCCGGCCCCGCAGCCGCCTTTTATCCCCCCCCCTGCTCCCGGTGCGCGCCGGGGCCGGGGCTCATCCATCCCCGTAACCAGGTTAGAGCCGGCGCCGCGGGGCGAGCGATGGGGCCGGGCGCCAGCGAGGCCGGATGCGGCCCCCGCGCAGATAACGCGGCTCTATCGGAGCCAGGGAGCCGGCTCCGTCCCTGCGGCTGGAAGCGGCGGTGGGAGCGAGGATGGGGATGCCCGAGGGGTGATCCCCCCAACCCCAACCCACCGTGGGGTGCCCCCCCTGTGGGGATGGTCATGAGTGTTCTCTGGGGTGGGGATGGGAATGGGATGGAGGTGGGAAGGGATTGGAATGGGGAGAGGATGGGGATGGGGGTGGGATAGGGGTAGGAAGGGAGTGGAATGGGGAGAAGATGGGGCTGAGGATGGGATAGGGATGGAGATGGGAAGGGGCTGGAATGGGGAGAAGATGGGGCTGGGAATGGAATAGGGATAGGAAGGGAATGGAAAGACAGAGAAGATGGGGATGGGGATGGGGATGGGGTAGGGGTAGGGGTAGGAAGGGTGTGGAATGGGGAGAAGATGGGGCTGAGGATGGGATAGGGATGGAGATGGGAAGGGATTGGAACGGGGAGAGGATGGGGCTGGGGATGGAATAGGGATAGGAAGAGAGTGGAATGGGGGAGAAGATGGGGATGAGGTAGGGGTAGGAAGGGAGTGGAATAGGGGAGAAGATGGGGCTGAGGATGGGATAGGGTTAGGAAGAGAGTGGAATGGGGAGAAGATGGGTATGGGGATGGGGTAGGGGTAGGAAGGGAGTGGAATGGGGAGAAGATGGGGCTGAGGATGGAATAGGGATAGGAAGAGAGTGGAATGGGGGAGAAGATGGGGATGGGGATGGGGTAGGGGTAGGAAGGGAGTGGAATGGGGAGAGGATGGGGCTGAGGATGGAATAGGGATAGGAAGGGAGTGGAATGGGGAGAAGATGGGGATGGGGATGGAATAGGGATGGAGATGGGAAGGGGCTGGAATGGGGAGAAGATGGGGCTGGGAATGGAATAGGGATAAGAAGGGAATGGAAAGACAGAGAAGATGGGGATGGGGATGGGGTAGGGGTAGGAAGGGTGTGGAATGGGGAGAAGATGGGGCTGAGGATGGGATAGGGATGGAGATGGGAAGGGATTGGAATGGGGAGAGGATGGGGCTGGGGATGGAATAGGGATAGGAAGAGAGTGGAATGGGGGAGAAGATGGGGATGGGGATGGGGTAGGGGTAGGAAGGGAGTGGAATGGGGAGAAGATGGGGCTAAGGATGGGATAGCGATAGGAAGGGAGTGGAATGGGGAGAAGATGGGGATGGAGATGGGATAGGGATGGAGATGGGAAGGGATTGGAATGGGGAGAAGATGGGGCTGGGAATGGAATAGGGATAGGAAGGGAATGGAAAGACAGAGAAGATGGGGATGGGGATGTGGTAGGGATGGAGATGGGGAGGGATTGGAATGGGGAGAGGATGGGGATGGGGGTGGGATAGGGATAGGAAGGGAGTGGAATAGGGGAGAAGATGGGGCTGAGGATGGGATAGGGATGGAGATGGGAAGGGATTGGAATGGGGAGAGGATGGGGATGGGGGTGGGATAGGGGTAGGAAGGGAGTGGAATAGGGGAGAAGATGGGGCTGAGGATGGGATAGGATTAGGAAGGGAGTGGAATGGGGAGAATATGGGGATGGGGATGGGATAGGGATGGAGATGGGAAGGGGCTGGAATGGGGAGAAGATGGGGCTGGGAATGGAATAGGGATAGGAAGGGAATAGAAAGACAGAGAAGATGGGGATGGGGATGGGGTAGGGGTAGGAAGGGTGTGGAATGGGGAGAAGATGGGGCTGAGGATGGGATAGGGATGGAGATGGGAAGGGATTGGAATGGGGAGAGGATGGGGATGGAATAGGGATAGGAAAGGAGTGGAAAGACAGAGAAGATGGGGATGGGGATGTGGTAGGGATGGAGATTGGAAGGGATTGGAATGGGGAGAGGATGGGGCTGGGGATGGAATAGGGATAGGAAGGGAATGGAAAGACAGAGAAGATGGGGATGGGGTAGGGGTAGGAAGGGAGTGGAATAGGGGAGAAGATGGGGCTGAGGATGGGATAGGGTTAGGAAGGGAGTGGAATGGGGAGAAGATGGGGATGGGGTAGGGGTAGGAAGGGAGTGGAATAGGGGAGAAGATGGGGCTAAGGATGGGATAGGGATGGAGATGGGAAGGGATTGGAATGGGGAGAGGATGGGGCTGGGGATGGAATAGGGATAGGAAAGGAGTGGAATGAGGGAGGGCTGGGGATTGTCCTGGGGCTGGGGTTGTGTTGGGAATTGGGGTGGCGATGGGATGGGCACGGGACTGCGGGGCCCATCTGAGCTCCCCCAGTGTCTCCACCATCAGTGAGCTGAGCCCAGCCCCGGGCACCATCAGCACCGTGGGGCCAAGGGGCAGGATGGGACCCACTCAGGGGCTGGGTTAAGGACCCCAAACCCTGCCCATGCAGGGCCGGGAGGTGGCCGGGACAGGGCCTGGCGGTGGCCCAGGGGCAGCTCAAGGGAACAGGGAACAGGAACAGGAACAGGAACAGCTAATCTGGGTGCTGGCACCACAAAGGCTGGAGGGGGGGGGCGTTATGCAAGAGATGGGTTCCCCCCCCCCCAAACCCAATACCCCCCAATTCCCCCCCAAACCGCCACCCTGCAGCGCGCTCGGGCCCCTCCGGCTGCCTCAGTTTCCCCCCTTCCCACAGCGCCCCATGGGGACCCCCCCATAACCAACACCGCCGGGCCAGGCCGGGCACTTTATTGCCATACAGAGCCCATCATTGCCACAACCCCACCGCAGCCCCCCCCCAAACTTGGCACCGGGGGGGGGTTCATTCAGCGCTCCCCATCCTCGCCCCCCCCTTTCCTTTGCCAGGGAACACAAGAGCAGTCCCCACCGGCCCCCTCGATGCCCGCTATGGGGTGGGGGGTCCCAAGCGAATGGGAGCCCACCCCCCACATCCCCCTCCCCACCGTCCTGCGCTGCCTCTTTGGGGTGGCAGAGCAGAGCCCCCCCTTCATCTCCATCCTCATCCTCACCCCCCCCACCCCGCCCCAGATCCCATCTATCCCCGTTGCCACCCTCAGCCCCTCTGGGCCTCTTGGGACAGGGAACGGGACAAGGTGCGGGGGACCCCGCTCTTGGCTCCTCGGAGGTCCGGGGGGGCGAAGAGGGGCAGGGGCAGGGTGCGGGCATAGGGCAGGAGGTGCTGGCTCAGGGGCTGCCCCACGCAGCCCACCCGCAGCACGCCCCATGGCGAGCGCTGCTCCAGCACCCGCACCTCCCCGCGATGCTCCAGCGTCTCCCGGCGCTGCTCGTCCACCTCCCGACGGCACCACCTGGCAATGGGGCCGGGAAGGGGGGGCTCAGCACCCCCCCCGGGGGGGGTCCTGGGTCCCCATCGACCCTAATGGGGACCTGCGCAGCCCCAAAGGGACCCCCAACCCCATGGAGACCCCAATTGAACTCCCCCCACATCCCTGGAGCTCCACAGGGACCCTTGGAGCCCCCCACATCCCCTTGGACACCCCTATATTCCCTATGGTCCCATTGGAACCCTGGAAGCACCTCACAGCCTCCTTGGGGACCTCTGAGACCCTCATATCCCCTATGGCCCCATGGAGACCCTTGGACACCCCCATAGAGTTTGGGGACCCCAGAGACCCCCATATCCCCTATGGCCCCATGGAGACCCTTGGACACCCCCCCCCCCGAGTTTGGGGACCCTTGAGACCCCCATATCCCCTACGGCCCCCCAGAGACCCTTGAGACCCTCATATCTCCTATGGCCCCACTGAGACCCTTGGACCTCCCCCATAGAGTTCGGGGGCCCCTGAGACCCTCATATCCCCTACGGCCCCACAGAGACCCTTGGACCCCCCTATAGAGTTTGGGGACCCCTGAGACCCCTACGGCCCCACAGAGACCCTTGGACCCCCCCAAAGACTTTGGGGACCTCTGCAACCCCCATGGCTCCATTTGGACCCCTGAGACCCCCCATATCCCCCCATGGCTCCATTAGGATCCTTGGTGCCCCCCCTAGGATCCCCCCCCCCCATAATGGGTGCCCACCGAGCCCCTCACCCCTCCTCAGGCCGGGTGCTGAGCTCCAGGTCGAACCATTCAGCGCTGAAGCTCTCGTGCCGCCCCACATCCTCCTCCCGCACCCGGCAGCCCAGGCGGGCCCCCGAGAGCAGCCCCCCGCTGCGCACCACGGCAGTGGGGCCCAGCATCCTGCCCCCTATGTGCTGCTGCTGCTGTCCCCCCCTGCCCCCGATGTGCCGCAGCTCTTATATAGCCCCACAGGGGCTATTTTGGGCCGCGGCGCTGGCACTGCCAGGGCCAGGACGGTGCCAAGCAGGGGGTGGCACCGGGGGGGGGGACACACACACGTGTGTGGCCCCGTGTGTGGCTGTGCCCGGCCCCATGCGGCTGCGGTGACACCCCCAAAGCCGTGTCCCCTCCATGGGGATGGCGTTGCCAGGACCCCCCCCCCCCCTCCCCGCCCCATGGATCCAGCCCAGGGCACGTTTGGCCTTTCCCTGCCTGGCACTGATGGGCGCTGAGGTGGGGATGGCTTTGGTGGCCCTGCCTCTGCCCTATAGCGCCATTAGGGCCCCATTGCAGGGACAGGCTGTGCTGGGGGGGGGCTAAAAGGTGTCGTTGTCGTCGTCGTCCCCGTGTCTGTCCCCCCCTCCCAAGGCTGGGCTATTTACAACTCAGTTCTGCCCCCAGGGTGCCAGCGGCCATGGGGCATCCCGCTCCAATGGCACCAACCAGGACCCATGGACCAGGATGCTCCATGCGCTGCCGGGGACCCCATGGGATGGGGGCAAGGGACACCCATGGTGGAGTCCCCATCCTTTGGCATCCTCTTCGCCTTCATCCCCTCCGGGTACCAGGGCTTTGTGGAAGACAACGACCAACCAGTGCAAGGCTTTTAATGCTGACACATCCTGTGTGTGTCCCCCCCCACACTGCAGGGACAATGGGGGACACCAGACCCCCAGGAATGGGGCAGAGGGGGGGCCCCCCCTGCAGCGTGGGCCCCATGTGCAGGCGGCTCCGCTGCTTCTCTTTATAGCTCAGCACCCGGCCCCGGCGCTCACAGGTAGGGAGCAGCCGCAGGCACCCCCGCAGCAGCCCCCCCCCGCACCCCAAGGGAGCAAAGCCTCTGCTTAAGGCTCTGTTTCCCCCCCCCCCGAGAGGCAGCAAAGCACCAGGGAACAACCCAGGCACCCCCCCCTCCCCTCCCCGGGTGCTGCAGTGGGGCAGAGCTGGGGCTGCCCCCCCAATGTGAGGGGATGGAGCCGAGTCCTCACCCTCAAGCATCCTCCTCCGAGCCTGGGGTCATCCTGCGTGGGGCTGAGCCCCATGGAGGGCCGGGGCTTGGCAGGCGCCGGGAGGAGCCGAGCGCTGCCCCACGCTCATCCCAGTGCTGCAGCGTCCTCCCGGGGGCCCCATCCCCAAGGGAACGTCCGTGGGGCTCAGGGCCGGGAGCCGGAGCAGAGCTCGCCGACGCGCTGCCGGAGGTGGAAGGCGAACTCGAACATGGTGGCAGCCAGGCTCTGGTGGACCAGGGAGCGGGGCAGGCGGCCCTGGGGGGACGGGAGGGAGCCGTGAGATGGGATAAGGGGGATGCTGAGATAAGGGGGATAACAGGGATAACAGGGATGTGGGATAACAGGGATGCAGGGATAACGGGGATGCAGGGATAACGAGAATAAGAGGGATAACAGGGATGTGGGGATAACGGGGGTGCAGGGATAACGGGGATGCAGGGATAACGAGAATAAGAGGGATAACAGGGATGCAGGGATAACGGGGGTGCAGGGATAACGGGGATGAAGGGATAACGAGGATAAGAGGGATAACAGGGATGTGGGGAAAAATGCAGGGATAAGGGAGATGCTGGCATAACAGGGATGCTAAGAGAACGGAGATGCGGGGATAAGGGGATGCTGGGATAACGGGGATGCAGGGATAATAGGGATGTGGGGATAACGGGGATGCGGGGATAACGGGGATGCTGGGATAACGGGGATGCAGGGATAACAGACATGCTGGAATAATGGGGATGCTGGGGTAACAGGGATGCTGGGATAAGGGGGATGCTGGGATAATGGGGATGTGGGGATAATGGGGATGCTGAGATAACAGGGATGCAGGGATAACGGGGATGCTGGGGTAAGGGGGATGTGGGGATAAGGGGGATGCTGAGATAACGGGGATGTGGGGATAACGGGGATGCTGGGTAAGGGGGGTGCAGGGATAACGGGGATGCTGGGGTAAGGGGGGTGCAGGGATAACAGGGATGCTGGGGTAAGGGGGGTGCAGGGATAACGGGGATGCTGCCGCAGCGGGGAGCTGCCGCTCGCAGGGAGCAGGCTCCGGGGGAGGAACTGCTTTTGATTCCTCTAAAAAAGCCCTGCACGACTCAACCCAACCGCCTCGGCCCCGGCTCTATTGTGTGAGAGGCATTGAAAAGTACATCTCCTCCGTGCCGCTGCGGGGGAAGGCAGCCCGAGGGAGGGCTGGGAGCAAGCACAGGGGGTGCTCCGCTAGGCACAGAAGGGACCATCCCCTTTGGATGGTGGCATTCCAAGCAGGCAGAGGCTATTCCCTACGGAGCAGGGTTCCATGGGACTGCAGGTCCGGGGGCAAAGCTCCAGCGCGTTGCAAAAGGCACCCAGAGCTGTGTAATCCTCCCCCTTGGGTGAGGCAGGGATGAGCCACGGGCTATAAATACCCCTCCAGGCCCAAAGGAAATAACAAGGCAGCGCAGGAGAGGGGCCCGGGCACCAGCAGAGCCCTGCAGGAAGGTGCTGGAAGCAGCAGCCAGGGGGTTATTAATAGCCCGGCTGCTCTGGAATCCCTGCCAGCAGCAGAGGCCGCGGGTGAGGGCTCTCCGGGGCCGGGAAGCACAAGGAACATCTTCCCTTTCCCAGCTCCAGCTCGCACAACGGAGCGGGTTCAGCACCCTCCAAGCTGCCCATGGCAGAGCTGGGGGGGGAAACGCATCCCCAGCACAATGGGGCAGGAGGCCACGCTCTGCTCCGCTCTGCCCCGGCATTCCCTGCCCAAAGCGTTCCACAAGGCAGGCAGGAGCTATGGGGAGGGAAGGGGAAAGGGGGGGGGTGCCGTGGGAGGGGAGGGGGCCGCGCAGCTCTGCAGCAGAGCGCTGATGAATGGAGCCTTTGTGCTCTGCTGCTGCAGCGCCGTTACCACGTCAACCCCCGGCGAAGGAGGGGGGGAAAGGGGCCAGCTCGACCCCGGCTCCCTTTTGTCTGGGCCACCAGTAAGGAACTGGGAGCCGCAGCTCCACCAAGAGCCTTGCCCTGGGTGCAGACTCAGCCCCACACCGAGTTGGGGGGGGGGGTTCCTGGGGGCAGTCCTGCACACAGAGATGTGGACTCCCGAGGGAAATCACAGAGGGAGCTTTTTGGGGGGGGACAAAAGGGTGATTTTCAGGTAGTGTTCAACCTCCACCTCGGAGCAGCCTTTGATAAGCAGCAGCTTTGTGGGAGCACGGCGCAGGTCCTGAGCGCGCAGCGGGGGCTGCCGGGAGCTCTGCTGGGGCCAGGATGCGGCCGCAGCACGGGTGCATCAGCAGAGAGCTGCCTTTACCTTCAGGTCCGTGTTGAGAATCCAGATGAAGGTGCAGACCCTGGGGTTGCTGGGACATTTGAGCACGATGAAGCCTCCGGGGCCGTTCTCACCCCTGCGGGGAAGCAAGCGCACACGGTCAGAGCCGGGGCTGCTCTGTGACACCCTGGGGTGCAGGGCTCGGCAGCAGCAGCAAGAGCTGGAGCCCAGCAGGGTGAGAGCAGATGCAGAGCGCCCGGGAAGGGATCTGCTTTGGCTGCAGCACACGAGGGGCAGGTTTCCCACAGGTGCCTTGGCTGCCAGGGCAGCCTCTGCCTCCAGCCCGGCCCCAGCTCTTCCTCCCACCGAGCTGTAACCCTACGGAAGGGGGTGCAAGGAAGAGGTCCCAGGACACCCTGCACGGGCAGGGAGAGGCTCGGCGCAGGGAGCCTCGCCAGCACAGCCCCCCCGAGCCTTCCTTGCACCATCTAATCCGGCTCCGAGACAAGAGACACGGAGCCCGAACAGAGCTTTCCCTTCCCAGATCAGGAACACGCTATTTTCTGCTGCACAACGTTTGTAACGGGGATCTTTCTAGGCCCTGAAGTCCCCAGCTCTGAAACAGACCTGAGGCAGCTCCAGTGGCTCCCAGTTACAATGTCAAGTACTTTAACCAGATCAGGAGGAAAAACCAAGCCCGTGCACAAAGTGGCACAGCCAGGCCCCGAACACCGGAGCAGCACAACAAGGAGCCCTTGTCTGACGAGGCTAAGCCCACTGACATCCATCCCCAGGCAGGCAAAGCTGGGGGCAGGCCCAAGACCTGCCCTGCTTCGGGAGCCAGCCCGTCCTGACGCAGCCTGCATCACCCCCGGGACCGGGTCTGAGTGTCCCCAGCCTTTAAAGTCACTAAGTGCCTGGCTTACGAGAAGCAAAAGGCATCCGAGAGGCTCCAGCAGCCACTGTCAGCTGTTTCCTGCCCCTCAGGACCGGCAGCTGTCCCTGGTTGGGAATGACCTGTTACATAAACAGGATGCAGACCGGGCTGGGGTTTGTGCTGTTTGTGGTCAACACCTCTGCTCCCCTGAGCAGAGAGCCTGGGGAACGCCCGAGCAGCGCTCGACAGTGCTTGGAGAGGTTCTCTGAACAAAGGCAGAACAAGGGAAGCAAGGTTTAGCTCCACAAATAGACCTGGCTTCCTGCACGCGCTGCCAGGGCGACAGCAGGGTTTGCATTTCAGTGCCTCTTGGCCCCCGAGCTCGAGCAAAGCCTCAGGAACCAGCGACAGGGGGGGAAGAGAGCCTGCCTCTTACCTGACATACTTGGAGAGCGGAGGCTTCAGGCTGTGCGTGGTCGCCATCCCTGAGGAGATGTACCTGTCTCTTCTCCTCTCGATCCGCCGCACGTTCACGAAATCCCTGAGCAAAGAAAGGAAGGTTTCAAACGGTGCAGGGTTGGGAGGCTTGGATCCTGCTCTCCAGGCTCCTAGGAGAGGCTTTGGCAAGGGTATGGCAACAACCCGGACAAGATCCCTTTGCCTTTGGGAACGTCACCCGGCGCCTCGTCGACAGCGGGAGCTGCCAGGCGGCACCGAGCACCAGAGCTGGGGCCGAGCTCAGCCCCGTGCTTCGGGAGGGTGCTTGGGGGCTCAGTGCAAAGCAGAGGGGGGAACAAACCGACCTTGGGGAGACAACAC